TTTTAATACCATTGTCAGACTGTGTAACACCACTTAAGAGCTTCAGTGAAGTGGAAAAATATTTCCCTTCTACTCCGATTCTCCAAGAAATCTTGCGAAATGTCTTTTTAGGTACGTGCGGCACCCTAATTCTTAGCAGGCTTCTCAGTGAGATGGCAATTTACACATTTTACATTTTACAACAAGAGGGAAGCACCCTGCACACACACAAACGTACAAGAACTTTGTTCAGAAATCATGTGATTCTTGAGATTTTTGGAGCCAAATGGACTTGAATTTCTTTTTTGTTTCATTCCTGTGTGAACAGGACCTAAATCCTTTGTATTGGACGGTTGTGATTCAGTGCAGCCAATACTCTGATTATTTACTTCCCTTTTGACTCGCATACACATCTGACAACAGCATTCATGGCAATGTTGCACGTACTTCTGAACGCTGCGTGCCAAATCACTCAATGAATGGACCTTTTAATCATCTTTGTGTTCTTTTAATCAACTTTGTGTTCTTGTACATTTAGCGTCAGTAGGTGAATTCATGGAGCACAGCAAATGTCACAAATGTTATTTGCACAAACCATCAGAGTAGTACGCACAAATGATCCCTCAAACAACTGAAATCCTCTTAGCGTCACGTCAGGGACACGTGCTGATAGTTTCTGGTTGAATTCAGTCTGAGTGTGATGGATCTGGTAGCGAACAGGTCAAAACAAACCTCTCCTGTGCTTGTTTTCTTGGGTCCTTCATGTGTTGACTCATTGCATCAGCTCCGGTTCCCTCTTGTACCATAGCAACTGACCCTTCACACATTTCCCATGCAGCCCATCCCTCACACTCTCTGTTGGCACTGCTAATATGAGCCTTAAAGGAATAGTTCACACAAAAATGACAATTCTGTTCATTATGAACTCACCCTCATGTCATGACTTTGACACAAAATGAGAAATCTTAATTGATCTGGGCTGTTTTTATTGTTCTCCTCACACTGCATTTTACTGTCGTTAAGGAATGCAAGCAAATAAATGTACTAGTGTATTTTCTGGAACCTTTAACCTCTTGTTGGAATGAGTTTATGGTTGAAGTGTGTTTAGCCATTTGGCCTCATGTCAGATAAGTTGTCAGTCAGTGAATAAAGCATTTTAGCCTGCCGAATATATCTCTTATTAACTGTGTTCTTTTATATTTCTGGAGTGTTCTACTGCAACAACAGGTTATGTCTATTGAGAGAGAGATATAATATTATATACACATTAATTTTTAAACTTTTTTTTTTAATAAATGCTCTCCTGAATCAAAAATGTATTAAAAATAGTAATATTGTGGAATACTATTACAATTGAAATCACAGTTTTCTGTAATTTATTCCTGTGATGCAAAGCTATGAATTTTCAGCTTCATTACTCAGTCTTCAGTGTCACATGATCCTTCAGAAATCATTCTAATATACTGATTTGATGCTCAAAAAACATTTCTTATTATCAGTGTTGAAAACTGTTCTGCTACTTCATATTTTTGTGGATTCTTTTATGAATCAAAAGTTCAAAAGAACAGCATTTATTTTAAGATAATTTTTTCAAAAAATGTCTTTACTGTTACTTTTGATCAATTTAATGTATCCTTGCTTGTCAAGTGGTTTCACCATTTACAAAGTTTCAATGTGCAGATTCTCCCACTTGATAAGACAGCCCACTACAAGAATTCCACCGGACTCCACTCATTGACCATATCGCTTCTTCACATCGTCCTTGACGTGATAGGGTCCAAACAGGTCAACAGCTGTAAACTCAAACGGGGCTGCAGGTCTAATCCTCTCTGGAGGCAAATTGCCCATTACTTGTTGACATCTTCTGGCTCTGGCTTTCTTACAAATTATGCAGTTATCAACAACTTTTTTAGCAATTCTTCTTCCTTTAATGACCCACGCAGTTCCCCTCATCTTCATTAAAGTCGCAGCCACTCCTTCATGACCCTCATTGTGAGCCTCACGAGCCAGCAATATGGAAATCCATGCGCTGTAAGGTAGAAGAGGAACACCAACTTTGTCTTCTTTGAAGCTCTGGACTCTTCCACCACAAACCAGCAGCCCAGACTCTTGCTCTTTATAGACGACCAGTCGATCTATAGTAGTGGTTGGAAAGGTCACGCCACTTTGTGCAGCCAAGAAAAGATCTCTTAAGGCATCTTGACGTTCAGTCACAGTGATAACTCCTCTTGATGGAACTGCCTCCCACTTTAGGGTTTCCAACATCTTCCTTTGTCCTGCAAACTCTTTAGCTGCTCTCCAAATCCATGCAACTGTTTTG